CTGGCAACTGTCGAAGGGTGAAGATTTGACCGATGCATCCACGACCGGCACGAAACCCAGCCTGCTCCTCGCGGGCCTGCTCCTCACGCGTAGTGTACAATCGGCGGAGAATGATGGACGCCAGCAGCTTTGACGCTATCGGGATAAGGCTTATACCCCTATGATTGGCGCAGTTATTGCGCGGGCTCTTTTTAAAGATGGGGACAACAATCGATTCTCTTCATGAGGAGGGGACTTGTTCAGTGCACCACACTTTAGAGAACAGAACTTTTAGTCCTCTAACAAGCTTTATTCCACCATCTTTAAATAGAGCAGGGGTAAGGCCATCGGAGCCCTGCGCTTTGTGACGTCACAAGGCTTGGATTTCCTTTCGGATTTCCGCCTCAGAAGGTGGGTCTGTTGAAACAGACCATGGGACGTGTGCCAGAATAGCTGTGTGAACAGCTGGCGCTGGTGGCCAGCTAAATTGTGCTTTGAAGCGCTCCGCCCAGCGTTCAAGGCATTGCTGTTGATTATGAATGGGCGAACCGTCAGCTTCGCAGATCGTTTCGCTCACACCCAAGGCTTTCCTACCGGTGACCCGGATGAGGTGGAACAGCTTACGGGAATTACCCATGGCGGTAGCACGTTCCATCTCTGATGCGCGTTGAGACCACTAGATCTCGCGGTCTCTGCGTAGGCTTGCGTTAAGTTCACGTCTTGTTACGAATCGTGTTTGCTCGCTGCCGGTCGGAATTGACCGATGTGCGTCAATAAGGCGTAGAGACTGCAGAGATCCAGGGTGTCACGGCTCGACGTGTCAGAACACAACTAACTAAGCCAGCAGAATGTAAATCATTCTTGATAAGCGACCAGTGCTGGCTGACATTGTCGGGTGGAGTTGGTTTTAGCTTTCCAGCTAGCGCGTTTTGGAAAAAAGTTAAACAAGCTGGTTTGGACAGCTTATCATAGTCTATCTGTCGTTGTGTCGTTGTGCGAGGAATAGGCGGTGGTCGGAACACAAAGCCAACAGCAGCTCCCCGTTTTCTGAGCGACAGGAATCTAGTCCAAAAGGACCACCTAGGTGCACCTCACTCGAAGTCAACCGACCTACTCTAGCATTCATATCTCCCGCTACAATCACGATACCAGCCCGGGTCGCTTTACGCAAGAGGTCGTGTAAATTGTGGTAAAATTCATCTTTGACTGCATCTGGGTTGCAGTCCGTTGGAGCGTACGCCGGAACAGAAGACCAAGAATTAAAAATAGGTTAAGATTTCTGAGCAGTAACCCACTTATCACTACCCACCCCGCTCGATGCAATGGGCAGCGCGGTCCTGATTATCCTGAGTGACGACCGATGCAGTATGGAATTCTTTATAGTGTGTGGAGTTTGATGGACGGGTACTGCTAGGGTATCCAGTCGCGAAGCAGGAGATCGATCAGGGTTCTCAAACGAAACCTTTAGTTCTGACAAGAACTTGACCCCGAAGCAGCGGGTAAAGCAAAGTGGAGATCCACTTTCTTGGGGTCACGACACCTTCGGTTTATGGCCCGCTGTAATGTTGATTGAATTCGATGAGACACCATTTAATTTTTACCCAATAGTAATAAATAATGACACAAAGTAATACAACTCTTTAAATTAACCTTTCTTTCCCTAGTATTCTCATCAGTTTTGTATCCATCGTGTTGTCTTACAATCGTGTATTATTTCATCTGTCAGGAACGACATATGATCGTCGAAGGAGATGCGAAGTCCGGCAAATTGTACCATCTGTCTTGCTTCATTCAAAGCGGTCAATGTCCCTCGGAAATCAATACGTATGTCCGTCGATTACGTTTGGGCGATTGCTACTGACTGTTATCCTGGATTTCATCCTTCGTTTTTTTGCATGTATACCATTTTATTGCACAATAGGGGTGAACCATATACAATGGTTTACTTTTGATTCCTTTATTACTTATGTTATTCTTCACTGCCGTTAGGAGCGATTTAGTACCCGAAATTTTTACCTAATTATTAGATACAGGCGAGATTCTGACCAGGTCGCGGTTGTATAGACCAAATCTTCGCATTGTGTCGAATACTCGAGTTACGCTACACACATGGTCGACTAACAATGGTCTTGACCCGAAAGGAGCCTTCGATTCGGTTGACCGTGAGGCCTAATGGGTCCGGTGCTTCGCAAGAGATGCTCGAGAGATATGTAAACCTATTGCGATCACTGCACCTGCATACCGTGATAGTGATGGCGCAGTGGTTTATTCGATGTCACCGACACGTTTTGGATCCTATGATCGGAAGTTCGAGCCCCTCCATCTCCACCCAACTTTGGCGATAGGCAGCTTTGCTGTCGTCTGGTTCAAGACCGCATCTAACCTAGTGCGGCCTTATGCTGTTCGCCACTTCAATTCTCGAAACGTAGGTTACTAAGCAAATCGTTCGTAACCGGCAGTGCTGTTCGTCAAGGATGTCCTATATTCCCATTCCTGTTCAATTTCGTCGTAGCCGAGATATTGGAGAACGCATAAAGTGGTCTCCAAAATGTTATTATTGAATAGGAATTAGCTTATACTGATGATATCGTTTGTTTGTTTGAATGTATGGAGGACTTAGAAGGTGCACCTGATAGACTGAAAAGTTATGCGCTTTGCACTTCCAGAGTGCAAAGTGATGGTCTATGACCGGGTGTCAACCGTTTCAATTCAGAAACTAGATGGCCAGGAGTTGACTGAAGTTGATTGCTTCTCGTATTTGGGTAGTCGCGTGACCGGCGACGGTAGCGGAGTAAGGAAGATAACCGCACACATTTCCATGGTTTGGCGGAGTACATGGGTCCGAGGCAACTGTGACAACGATGTGACTTTTCTCTGCAGTTGAAAGTCATATATACTGCAGCCCCATTCGGTCAGTTTTGCTTTACGGCTGAGAGGTCTTGAATTTGCGCGCAGTGAATATGCATCGCCTGAAGGTTTTCGACAATCATTGTCTATGTACTCTGGCCCAAGTTGAATGTAGTGATCGGGTTCTTAAGCTAGATATATGTCGTCGTGCGTTTACGCACACAAACATACATATATTCTTCACTAGTTTAGGACACTTTCTGTGTATATCTAACGGTCACCTACCGAACCGCGGCTTGTTTACAATTGTCGCTGCCGTTTAGAGAAAGCCTCTTGGANTTACCCGGAGATGAGGCATTGAGAAATACGCAGACCGATTAGGTGGTGTAGATGTTTCTCCTCTTCCATACTTGGGTTCCAAAGACCCCGTAACTGGTTAGTTGGAGGCAATGAAGGATATGGCCGCAAACCAACAGTAGTGGTGTTTTAATTGTTGTTACTTCCTATCACACCAGAATGGTTGAAAAGGTGTGTATGCACAGTTGAACTGTGCACGCCTTGTGTTGAATTTCGCTCTCTTTCCCCATCCCGTAAACTGGACCCGACCTCCCTCCATCTTACATATTCTCACCTGCTTTGCATGCTTTATACGCAGTATCAGTTGGACAGTGATCAGTGAATTTCACCTCACTGTATTCTGTTGTACGATAATGATGATTGTGAATTTTGATACATTTCCGGTGAACNTTAGGCTTTTGCTAATCGCCTTTAAGTTTCAGCCGTATCCTGTTTTCAATGCTTTTCATGTATCGTTATTTCACTTTGCTGTAACAACACGGCCCACCAACCATGTTTGAAATTCTACTGCTCATTCCCCTACTAGGTGCAGGTTCTTTATCATACTATCCTATTGTTTTACCATCTTCTTCCCTGCAGATTGAAAGGTTTTCAACGATTGAAGAAAGTCGACCAACAGGCGGTTCTGCTAGCTCAAGAAGAAACCAAAAAGTAAGCTTGTCTCTCACTCATTGGGTTCGCTCTGGATGTCTGGTTTCACTAATATGACATCCAAGGTATCCCTTTCCTATTCATCTGTAGTGAGTGCCCGTGATCCTTATCAGTCGATATGCGTTTCTATTTCCCATTCGTCTCTATGGAACTGCCTAAATATTCACTCATCGAATGTGTCAATTGACACTTTATTTACCCCCCCGCCCCCTGTATTCACATGCTTAATCAGAGTATAAAACAATTGGTTATTCCTTTGTAGTTCTGTGTCATATTCAGTTTTGTAAAGAGAGTTAGGCGTGCGTTCCGTCGCGATTCATCTTCGCGCACCGTTTATCGACCGAGACAGCACAATGTAGTACAACCTTATACTGACCTCACTCAGCCGTTGCTGAATCATGGACAATCGCGTCTGGTTATCGGCGCGTTTTCGAAACGAGCGTGCTTCGTCAACTCTCTACACTGGTATTGCTATTGGTGGCGCTAGCCAAATCGTGTTTATTCAAACACGGGGATCAAGTCTCCCTAATCGTTCCGTTCGGTAAAAAACAGCCTGGTCCACCGTGCCCGTATCACACCAGCTATGCACCGATGTGAAAAGTTGTTCACGCATGCTAGTCACATGAGAACGTTTTTGGCACACTTGTTTAACCCCGGCAAACAATTTCTACTGTTTGAAGCAAATGGACGACCTAACAAAGGAACATGCTTTTCCGTCAATCCGAAGGATTAATCAACTGATCTTAGGTGGACTGGTGATGTAACGCGATTGTCTTTGATTCAACAGTTAAGTGAGTTACACACTACGCATTACAGTGTGCCCTTTGCGCACACGGTCTATACGAAAGTGCCACGTGCCGCACCGCACAGATAGCTTTCTTCACGAAACCGTTTGTATTATTTCGTTTGTTCTTGATAGCAATATCGCTTGCTGTTCATATGTCCCTAACTATCATTTACCGTAACCATCTCTTGTGGTTATCTAAACCATTGGTCGGAACTTTGGGCAGTTACAGGAACCAACTACCGAGGCTTCATTTGGATAGTAGCGGTGTTGCCCAACAAAGGAATGCCCCGCTCGAAAGTTGACCGATAGCAGTAGAGCGCAACCCCCCGTGTTTTCTCCACCAATGCGTTGCGGTTAGAAAATTTGGGTTTACACGAAAACCACGTTATCTTTTGGGCTGAATGGAAAGCCACTAGTTTTCGTCATGAGTTTTCCGGTACTTCGAGTTGCTCGCTGCGATGAGCAGCGTGGCAATGTGAACACAAGCTAGTCTTTCCATTTTTTCGAGTATGGGCGGGCCGGGGGGGGGAGGCATTTTGAAGTACTGTAGTGAAATGTTTGGTACTGCTTCAACTGTAGCAGTATGTAAGAGTAAACGATTATGGTAAAAGGTTTTTATTTTTCTGAAACCGTTTTTTTTTCATTAGCATCTGACAACCTGCTCTTAGGAGTGACATGACGTGGGTATTTTCTCCAGGCCATAGAATCCGTTCATCTTTTCTCATGTATTTCACGAGCCGTATCTCATGATACTTATCGTTTTTGTTCACAATTCTTTCACACAGGGAGAATAAAAAGCGTCCGGCACCAGACTCTGCGGATGCACCCGTTGCGAAAAAGTCTAAAGTAAAAAAGGAAGAAGAGTCCCTACAGGTAGGAGAAAAAACGGTGCAACAGTAATGCGTTCTCTCTCTCTCTCACACACACACTACTCTTCCGTCACTTTGTGTTTTCTTTCCGTCATTGGTATGTAGTTTGGCTCAAGTTTTCGAGTATACCACACCTGGTTTTTATCCATGTACTTGCTTATCGTCTACCTCTCCGTGGTATCTTTGCTCCTGTTGGGTGAGGTTGGAGGATGTCACACGTCGATCAGATCATCACAGCTGGTGTTAGGATGTAAATAAAAGTTGGCTTAGTCTGTGGCTTCTGTAGATGTCTTCCAGGTTGGGACCCAAGGGATGGAGGATGTGACTCAAAACAGAAGTCAGTGTCGCGAATTCTGTATTGTCCGTCTGTTGAAATCCGGGGCGCCATAAGCGAAACTCGCATTTGACTCACAGTTACTTGTGAGTAGTGTGTGTGAGATAATTGGCATTGATTGATTTGATTGACTATCCTTCACACTTCATCTTCACGCACAATCCTCAGTTCATCGATTCAGCTATACACTCGGAAGCACTAGATTCGAGTTTAGCTTTTATTAGAGCTCATCTGTAGTGCATATCCACCGTCCGGTCTAGGGTTTGAACTACGGACTCATTGCATGGGAGGCGTGTGTTACCACTGTGCTAACCAGCTCATGCCATGGCTGAATCAAATTGCCAATTCATGTTTGTTCAGGTTTTGTCTTCAGTGATAGTCAGACAGTTCGTTTGGCTCTACAGCAACGAATGGAAACAGTGTGTGGTTGAATCGATGAACTGAGGATTGTGCGTGAAGGTGAAGTCTGAAGTATGGTCAGTCAAATCAATCAATAAACGAAACTGACAAACACAAAAATATCAAAGGTGTGCGGTGGGAAATCAAAAGGAAACACCATTGTGGTCATTGTTTTGTGTATTTGGTTTTTTTCGTAATGTTCTTATTTGAATCCAAATCAGTGCATAATAGTCGGCAACTTCATTGTCATCTTGTAAAGCGGTTTTCTTGAAAATCTCCCATTTTAACTTTGTGTGCATTTTCACTAACCCGTTCGTGTTTATTTTTGCTGAAATGTGATCATCCACGTGTCTGAAAAGCAGTGTACCTTGATGGAACTACAGATCGATAAACCAACAGACATGCATTGGTCGATTTACAACTATCTCTTCTATCTAGCTATATGCACAACCACACATTTTGTATTTCACGTAGGTACACCTTTTCCGCGTAACAGCTACAGAGAGGTGATTTGAAATACCATGTCAGAAAACAAGAACCATCAAACGGTAACACTTCCTTCGAGATGATCGCAGCATTTGCCAATGCATTATCCTTCTGCGGCTATTTTACTGACTTCTATCTCTCGTTTATCTCAGGATGCTTTGAAGACACAGAGTCGGTTGTTGTGGAAGTTGCATGATGATTTGGAACGTGAGGTATCCAAGGACGCACTGGTCGGCCTGCTCGAATACAACGAACAATTTGTGCCCACCGGATTATCCAATTTGCTTGACGCCGTGTCCGATGCCATGCTGTTCGGCGCTCTGGCTCCCTGTCCGACTTGCAAAAACTCGTCGTTACGCTATACAAATGGACAGTACAAATGCACGGCCATGGCTACCGAATGGGCCGCATGTCTCTACTCCACACGCGAACCGGTTCGGGTTCCATTCAAAGTGCCCAAAGAGTATCACGATGTGGATTTCCTGTGAGTGATCACCTACCGCGACGACAATTTACTGACTTACGATTTGCTATACGTCCTACTTTTTCGACGGAGCTGCAATCGGTCTTAGTCGGCTAGTTCGTATCCTCTTGTGCAACACGTTCCGTCCTAATTTGTGGTCATGTAGTTCGCAACACATTCTCTTTTGTCCGGTATTATATCGTAAGACTCACAGTGTTCGAATTGCTCACTGCAATGCATAGGACACTAGGAGACTGTTTCAACACTATACAATAACACATTTATGATATGCTTAAGGATTCTAGCTTTCAGTATAGTATTACTTATTGCAGTGAACAGATGCATCTTTCGGTTGTTTAAAATTACCAATCTTGTAGTTGGAATCCGGAAATTGTCCCCTGATGAATAGGCTGACATTAGATCCCAGGGAAGAACAGTTTTACAGGCTACAAATTAGTCGCCTACCGCAGATTAATGATCATGGAGTCTACATTTACGGTTTGGTGGTAACCAAGTGTTTAGACGTCCACGCGCAATAATTCCCAGCTGTTCGACTTTAAACGGTTTTGGTAGCTAGAATTCACCTTTTCAGACCCAGTTTTCTAACGGATGAGAAGATCACTTGTAAGCGAATGATGATGTTACGCAGTTGCCGACAAGTACACAGCTCTGGTGTTTTACACGGCTAAATCGCATCTTGCATCTGATTTGTGGATTGATCGGATGAGGTTCACAATATCATTCTTCACCATGTTGACCTATCCCTATCCAAAATTGCTAAAATGTAACCACCGAAAACATATTTGTGGGTCCAAAATGACCGGCCGCATTCAAGTTGGACAGTGGGAGTGGGTGGGCCATGGATTCGCTGATCGACCCATGGTGGCAACTGTATCATATTATTGCCGAACTTTTCCCCGCGATCTAATAATCTATAGGGGTTCGGCATTTCTAATTACACGTAATGTGAATGACAGTAAAAGAATAAATCTCCATAGCAGAAAAATCATACTGTATAAAGGAAAGTGGGAGAACATTCGCGTAAGATCCAGTTTACTGACTCTGCGTTTAAACAGCGAGCGATTGTAAATTGAGGGGAAGCCAGACAGTGTGAGGGAGTGTTCCACACCTTCACGATTCGGGGAAACAAAACGAAAATTGAGTTAGGAATGTACGACATCTTGTGTCTGATCACTAGATACCTGTGTACGGGATGAACGGGGAAAAATAACAGGAAGTGGAATTTCCGAGGCAAATTCTGAAGAATGAAAAACAAAGTAGTATCGGTATGGAAATGACAGTGAATGAACTACCTGACGATGGGCTGGTGATCGCAGATTTCAAGTTCGGGAAAGATCATCGACCTGAAAGGAGCCTTCGACTCGGTTGACTGCGAAGCTTTGACGGGCTGCCTTCTTCGGAAAGGAATGCCCCAGAAGTACGTTAACTTACTGAGGTCACTGTACTCACAAACCTCCAGTCGTGTAAGCGTCCACAACGAACTAAGTAGGCCGTTCGTCACCAGCGGCGGTGTCCGTCAAGGATGCCCTCTTTCGTCGTTCCTGTTCAATTTCGTCTACGACGAAATACTGGAGAACGCACTTAGTGAACTCCAAAACGTAGGTATTGAATGGGTAGCTGGAGAAAAGCTGTGCGATCTGGAATACGCCGATGACATCGTCTGTCTGTTCGAATGTATGGAGGACGCGCAAAGCGCACTTGATTAAT